ATTAACTTAAGTATGAGATATTACAAAGATGCCCTAAGTAGGGCGGCAACTCAACCTAAGTAATTACAACTCTTTAAAAAATAAAGACTAATGGGCCCAAGGCCCAACAACATCTTAATTTAAAAGGAAATAAACTAAACACAAGTCGGCCCACTCAACAATCATCTACCAATTATGATCCCATTATTTGATACACTATATGTCCAAGTCTAATCTTCAGCTTCAGTCTAAATTTCCTTGTCATTCTGTTGCATGTTGTCCTTTTGTGCTGATGCCTTCTCATGAATGGATGAGTTTGATTTTGTTTTTTCATCTTTATTTGTAAGTGCAACTTAATGATGCATTTTCTCAAAATACCAGCTTGGAGGTGGTTATCTCTTTGGACTGCCCATTGGCTTTGTTGCTGATTCAATTGGTGCTACCATAGGTGCAACAGCTGCATTTCTTCTTGGTAGAACTGTGAGTTTCTGAAACTTATTGATAGATTTGGACCTAAAGATATACTAATATCGGTATGTCCCTTAAAAACCATGTTCATATATACATGCAGAGATTTCTACCAATATTTTTGTCTCCTCTACTTGAATAGATTTGGTGGATGACCAGTTTCAGGGGGTAGCCAGGCGTTATACAAACCCCCTGAACATGTTTGAAAAAAACGAAAAAAATAAGTACATTATTGAAAAGTCCGATGCGCCAGATAGGGCATATTGGACTGTTTCGATAGTTTAAAACTTGTTTGTAATTACACTCCCCAAACAAAAAAAAAAAGGAAGGAAAGAAAAGAGAAGAGAAGAAAAGAAAATGACATTAGAGAAAGGACAATCACTAATTCATTCATATTTTCTTTTGGCTGTAGTTCATTATAATTGAAAGGTTTTGACCTGCATATTTTGTTACTCATCTGCAGATTGGGAGGTCATATGTTACTTCTAAGCTCAAGGATTATCCACAGTTTCAAGCAGTTGCTATTGCAATTAATAGATCCGGTTTTAAGGTCTGAATATTACATATTTGCTTGTTCCTAAATGTGATTATTCTGCTGATTTCATATTTCTTTTGGACTTATAGCTAGCTTTCTCCAGCATTTGAATGGTTATGTCTTACATGGGGAAGGTAACAACTTGGTACCTTTGAAGAGCTAATAGGGAGTAGGCTACTCCTTCAATACCCAAAAGGGCGGCCATAAAATAAATGTTACAATTCCTTTCTCAAAATTGTATTTCTGACCTGATTTTGTTAGACAAATTTGAGTGTGTACTTTGCATATTCAAAACCTGTTCATTCACCCAAAAGGAAAACGAAAAACTTATCCAAGGAAAATTTGAATCCCTATTCTGAAGTATGCAGTAAATGATTAAGGTGGATTCTGATTAATAATGAGAAAACTTAATGTAGGAATATGAAGAAGAGTACAATTGTCAGATCTTTCAAGATGGAAAGAAAGGAAAAAGAATGAAAGGTAGAACCTCAGTAGCCAGCTGTCCACCCAAGGATCGTGGAGTTTCTTCAGAATAAGAGGAAGGGGCTGCTTGGTAACAGCTGAAATGGCTGAACTGAATGACTTATTTCTTCGTCTTTTAGTAAATATTTTATCAAGGAAGAGGGTTGTTGATCATTACTAGCTGGATGAAATTGAGTTGATTACTAACTTGACTATTAATTATTTTATCCACTAAAAGACAGCAATAAATCATTCAGTTCAGCCACTTCATCCATTAGCAAACTTAAAAGTTGCAAATTTAAAACAGACACAAAAAAGCTCAGCTGCACTGGATATTGCTCATAATCTCAATCCTAGAGTCCAGAAATTGGCTCTTTAGGCTGTCTTAGATCACCAATCATGAATCACCCATGACTAGTATCTTTAACTATTACCTATTTTCTTAATAGGTACACAAATATATAAGTTGCTGCCCTCTTTTCCTTTTCAAATGGTACACAAATATATGAAATTCTATAAGTAAGATTTCTAAATTTTCTTTTGTCATTCCACAGATTGTTTTGCTGCTTCGGCTTGTGCCCCTACTTCCATTTAACATGCTAAATTACCTCCTTTCTGTCACTCCTGTTGCTATAGGGGAATACATGTTAGCCTCCTGGTTGGGAATGATGGTATTCTCTTAACCCTTATATTATTACTACTGTAGTGATTAGTTTTAAATGATTTATTGAGTTTGTTAAATATCTGGAAGACTATTCTGAAACTAAGCAACCAGACTTGGCTTCTTAACTTTCTCTGCCATTTGTCCTTGCCAATCCTTTATTTCTCAAATGGTCTGGTCCACATGAAAAGCTCATTTGTGTATATGGTTTTCTTCATTTCAGCCAATTACTCTTGCACTAGTATATGTAGGAACAACTCTCAAGGATCTTTCTGATGTCACACATGGATGGGGTGAGGTGTCAGCAATTCGTTGGGTAAGAACCATTTTACCTGTTTTCTTTTAGGCCTAGTTAGACATGATTAACTATTTATTTTTATTTATTAATCTTAACTCTGAGGTCTTTATAGAATTAGTTTGATCAAGTCTATACTAAGAAAATTCAATATGGTGATATCCATCATCGCCATGCCTTATCCCAACTATATGGGGTTGGCTACATGAATCCTGTTTCACCAATCCGTTCTATTTAAAGTCATATTCACTGTTAAATTATTAGTGCTTGAATCACTCTTCTAGCCCCTTCAATGTGGAGTCCATCATATACTTCAGGATTAAATATGATGACTGGTTTGGGCACATCCTATATTTGATAGGCTTGAAATGTCCTTGGTGAGAAGTACGGATGCCAGTGGGTTGGGTTAAGTGGTAAACCCACATTAGTCCAACCGAATCAAGCTAGGGATCAACCCTAACCAGGCTTTTGAATGGGTTGGGGTTGGCGTAAACCCATACTGAACCTGGCCTGTTGACATTTGCAGCATTGAAACATTTCTAGAGAAAGCCTTGGTTGAATATAGGTGTACTATATGTGGGACAGTTTGGGTCAGGATCAGTATCATCTTATTTTATTTGGGCCAGGTTGGGGACTTAAGGTCAGGCTTGGCATCCCTAATGAAAAGACAAGATGACCCTGATTGTAATGATGAAAAATAATGCATAGTACCTTTGTTGTTTAATACTTATTCTTACATAATTAGGGGCTTAAAAAATGGATGTGCCCAATTACTCCCTTGAAGTAAATCTGAAATCAGTTTTTCGGTAAGCCTATTTCAACAGAATCATGGCATTTCATCACTACCAAATGGATTTTTTTTTTTTTTAATTCCTGAGTTAGAGTAGGCACTTCTGGTTACTTGATCATATTTTATTCTGATATTTTCTTCTCCATTACTGTTGGTGCAGGTTGTTATTGCATCGGGTCTTGTGTTTTCTGGTAACTCAAAATTGATAAAACACATTTTTCTCAGAATTTTTGCCTCATATTTTTGTTTTAGTATCGCTCTTTACTGCTTGTATAATAAGTTCTTTTTTATAGGTAATTAGAAATTTTATTATTGATTTGGAAAAAAGAATGAGAAAAATTGTTAGGCCTGCCTTATAATATTGTTAGATTAGCCCCAGATGCCTAACCCCAAATTCTAAGCACTTCTTTCACTATTAAGTTACTACGTTCAATCCTCATTGGGGATGATCCCCCAAAACAAGTTGCTTCTATTTACCCCTTGCCTAGGAAACTCGTCAGCTTGGAAATTGACTGATCATTTTGTTTCTTAATTCTGTTGCTACTTGCTATAGTGTTCCTCTTATATCTGTGTTTCCAAGAGTCAGTGATGGAATTTGTGTAATGAGTTGTTTAAAAACATGAAATCTGTACACTGCTGTTGATATTCAATAGCTTGGGATCAAAAAAGAACTGACATGAAAACAAGAAATAAGAACAGCAAAATGTTCTTTGTTATAACTGTATGAAGGTTATTATACTGTGGAAGTAATGAAGCAATGAGCAAGAGACTGAAACTAAAGAGTTGTTTTCATGGACTTATTGGGTAATGATATTTCAGATATTTAATAGGAGCAACTTTAGTTTCTTCACTATGGAATCAGACAAGTTTTGGCTTGATTGGAACTTTAGGATTGTCAATCTTTTGTGATTGCAATGGACTTGCATTTTTTAATATTCTGAGCTGAAGGAATCTTCAACAAAGCCGGAGCAACTTAGCCTCTTCTTTGGGCTGAGGTTTGTTTGGGACCTAAGATCCCTATGCTTATAGTTGGGGTGGCACATGTAATTAATCTAGGAGGCGATGGAAAGTAAGAGATTTTAAAAATGCATACATTCCTCAAATAACACTGTTTTGAAGGGTAAAAGACTTACATACCCTGAGTTTTTAAGGTGGACTTAAACATACCCTATAGCCATTAAAGACTTGTTTACCCTTCATTATTTTTCAAATTTTCAAAAGAGAACTATAAAACAAGAAAAGAGCAGCGCAATGCATGAGGTTCCCACCTATGAGGGGCCTGGGTAGGGATAAATGTATGCAGCTTTACCCCTGCACATACAAAGAGGCTGTTTCCAAGATTTGAACCCTGGTCACCCAGGTCGCAATTGAGAACCATAAAACAAAAATCAAAGAGAAATCAAAACTTTCTTTTTGGGTTTAAATAGTCATCTGCTTTGGATCATCTATATTTGGAGTCAAAGGAATTTTTCCTTCAAAAGTCATCAGATGAAACTCCAGTGAGTTTCGATTTGGAAGATATCAGAGAAGCAATATTTTCATGGATAGATCAAAAGCTCCTAGGCCAAATGGTTTCACAATGGCATTTTATCAGGATTTTTGGGAGATCCTAAAAAATGATATCCAAGGAGTTTTCAACAAATTTTTCAAGAGAGATGTGATTAATCCTGGTTTAAACTCCATGTTCATTGCCCTAATTCCAGAGAAGGATGATGCTGTTCACCCTAAAGATTTCAGACCCATCAGCTTGGTGAATAGCCTCTACAAAATTATTGCGAAGTTGTTATCTCGTAGAAAAAGGCATATTCTCCCTTCCATTGTTTCCCCAAATCAAGGGGCTTTTGTGAAAGACAGACAAATCATTGGTCAGATTCTTACTGCTAATGAAAGTGTTGAAGAAATGAAAAAGATGGAAAAAAAGGCTTCATTTGTAAACTTGATCTTGAGAAGGCCTATGATTTGATGGATTGGGATTGCCTTTTAGAGGTCTCAAGGAGTTTTGGGTTTGGAGACAGATGGTGTAAATGGATTAAGGGGTGTATCAAAACTTGTCACTATTCTGTTTTGGTGAATGGGAAAGTTGTTGATCATTTCCGGGCTCTTAGGGGAATTAGACAAGGGGACCCTCTCTCTCTCTCTCTCCTTTCCTTTTCACCTTGATTGCTGTAGTTATTGGAAGACTAGTCTCTAGGGAGGATTCCAGAAATTTGGTGAAGGGATGGAGAGTGGGTAGAGAGAGTGCCAATCACCTATTTACAGTTTGCTAATGATATTATCTTGTTCTGTGAAGGGGGAGATAGAAGGTGGACACAGAATTTGAAACTGGTGATTCAATTATTTGAGAGATTGTCAAACTTAAAGGTGAATCTTGATAAAAGTTGCATTGCAGGGATTAGCATGGATCAGAGGGAGACATTTGATATTGCTGAAATCTTAGGTTGTGGGGTGGCACAATGGCCTTTGATCTATTTGGGGCTTCCTTTGGGTGATAATCCAAGATGTGCTAATTTTTGGAACTCAGTGATGGAAAGGTTTACTCAAAGTCTAGCATCTTGGAAGAAACACTATTTGTCATTTGTCTTTTTTKGGGGGGGGGGGGAGGATTACATTGATTAGGTCTACTTTGGCTAACTTGCTTGTGTACTACCTATCCATTTTTAAAATTCCAGAAGGTGAGTGGAATTGGGAGGTGGTGAGTAAGAGAAAGAAATTTGGGGTCTTGGTATTGGAAATATCCAGAAGAGAAACATGGCTCCTTTAGGGAAATGGTTATGGAAACTGCTAGCTGAAAAGGACAAATTGTGGGCAAAGGTGATTATTAGCCTTCATGGGCTTGTAGCTAATGGATGGGATGCTGGATTGTGGAACAGGGCAACAAGAGCTTCACCATAGAAATCAATCTATGAAATTCTTCCAGTTTTCCTTCTGTTTGTCAGATACAACCTGTGCTTGGGTAATCTTGTCAAATTCTGGGAACATGTGTGATTGGGTGACCTCCCGTTGAAGGAACAATTTCCCTCTCTTTTTAGACTTTCTATCTTTAAGGATGAGCTTTTGTCTTCCTTTTTGTTACTTTTAGCTCAATTTCAGGCTATACCTGGAATCTGGGATTTAGAAGGGGAGGCTGAATTGAGTAGTGTTTTAGTTTAGTTCACTATTTGGATGGAATATTCTTGAACCCTTTAGAGTTGGATTGTAGGATTTGGTCTATTGATTCTTTTGGTTCCTTTTCTTGTGCTTCATTCTTTTCGGCTTTGACCCAACCTTCTGATAATTCAATGGTGGCCTTTTTGGTGAAGGAGGTCAAGAACAAGCCTATTCCTCCTAGGGTAAGTGGTTTCTGTTGGGAAGTTTTCTTGGGTAGAATTGCTACTTGTGATCTTCTTCAAAGAAAGAGACAAAACTGGTGCCTCTCCCCAAATTGGTTCATCCTTTGCAAGGCTAACGATGAGATTAGCTACCGCTTAATAATTTCCTGCCCTTTTGCTCTTTATATTTGGGAATGGTTTTTCTTTTTGTTTGGGTGCAGGTGGAATCCCCCACCAAATGTTCAAGGATTGTTTGATTCTTCCTTTGTTAACTAGAGAAGGAGGAGGGGGAACCCTTTGGTGGTGTACAAGAGCGGCAATATGCTGGACAATATGGGAAGAAAGGAATCAAAGAATTTTTTTCAGACAAGGAAAGGAGCAGAGAAGCAATCATAGAAGCCATCACTGTCAGAGTAATCCATTGGGTTAAATCCTTGAGAAGCTTTGATGACATTCCCACAAATGACTTGCTTAGAAAGTGGAAGGAGGTAGCTGATTCTTCTCTTCCAAGAGCTGTTATAAGGCCTGTTTGTGTCCCAACTCCTAGCGGGTTTTTTAAACTGAATTTCGATGGTAGTAGTGAAGGGAATCCGAGTCCTTGAGGTATTGGAGGTGTTTTTTGGAACAAGGATGAAGGAGTTATTGCCCTTTACTTGGGACCAATAGGTGTGGGAGACTTCTTGAGGGCAGAAATATTGGCTGTGATGGAAGGGATCCAAAAAGCCAAGGAGCTGAATATAAGTTGATCATAGAAGGGGATTCAAAGGTGGTAGTTAGCTGGCTGCAAAAAGATGAGACTGTATGGTGGAAACTTGTCAATGAGAGGAGGAAGTTTAAGCTTTTAACTCAGGATATAGAGATCAAGTTGCAGTGGGTTAAAAGGAGTGCAAATGCCTTTGCTGATGTTTTGGCAAAGCAAGGGATGGGAAGGGATCAACTCTTTTGGGCTGTTCTGTAATTTCTGTACCTTTGCGTCATCTTGGAGAGAGCTAAGAGAGTTTCTCTCTCTCTCCGGGATGTTTTCTTGTATCTTCATTAGTTAATGAAATATTCTGGTTATTGATAAAAAAAAGTCATCAGATGAAACCCACCGTCAACCAAGTCTACCTTTAGTGTGGAAATTCAATTTTTTTTCACATATTTTAGAGAAATTAATTGCAAATGAAGACCAAAACAAAAGAAAGCAAGGGTTCTCTGGAATAACAACCCGTGCCGATTGGCAGCAAGAGTACAGTGAACAACCCTTTCTATCAGCGGGGAAACAGTCAAAAGAATTCAGGTTTCCGTGCTCCTCTTGCTATTGTTTGATTGTTTCTTAATCCATTTTCTGCTATTCTAAAAAGATTAAAGGATGAAATCAGAAATGGTGGATTTATGATCCATATGCTTTGTGGGAAGAATTAATTGAGAGGACCCCAGCCCATCTTCCCATTTTTTTTGTGTTCTTGAAATTCTTTTCCAACACCTCAATCTGACAGAAAGTTTCTGCTTAAAATCCTCTTTTCAGTTTCTGCTTCTGGAGTAATCTCCCAGTCTCCCTCTTTATGATTGGTGTTCTATTGCTTCTTTTAGGTACTTCTCTTAGGCTGCATTTGGCATTCCTTATTTTAAGGACTTACCTCCTTTTTGCAGTTAAAATGCCCCCTATGAGCAGAGTTTTTAACTTCAAAAAGGAGATATGTCTGTTTCCTCTAGGAGATCTAGCACATATTTCCGTTGACATATGTAGATTCCTTCTCTTGATCTAGCAACTTCAATCCCAAGAAAATATCTCAGATTTCCCAGGTCTTTGATCTCAAATTCTGAAGCTAAGAACTCCTTCAGCCTCTTCATCTCTTCCACATCATTTCCGGTAATCACCATATCATCCACATAAACAATGA